AACTATTAACTTCCTTACCTAAAAAAATTACAATATATCTGGTATCTATACATCATAATCTTATAATTTTATAGATAATCTCTTACAATTTGTCCAACTATATTACTTTAATTTAAATAAAACTGTCAAATAATATACATGTGTTATAAAAAAATTACATAAATCTATGTTTTCTAATATCAAACCTTAAGTTTGCTAAATCTAATTAAGAACGTAATTGCTGTCATCAATGAATTCTTCTGTATATCTTATGTCCATTTTTATCCAATGTAGATTAACTTTAATCTCCATTTAACTTACTTGTTATCTTCTTCTAAGAATTTCTTAGAATTTCACTCGCACTACACTAGATTAATACATATCAAAAGATTGCTTTATATAAAGTATCTAAATGCAACGATATAATATAATCAATTTTAATAATAAAATAATAAAAGTATATTTTGTTAAATAACGTGATAATATCATTATTGGATGTTTATGTTTTCACATTTAACTTCATTAATTTCATGTATAGCTGCTTTTAACATTTACTAATTTAGTGTAATGCAAGTGACTAAATTCGTTATTACAGTTATTAAGTATATCAATTTATTGGCTATGTTTACACCGTGCATTTAGGCCGCGGCCCATACAATAGATGTCCTTGTTTATACTGTTGGGTTAAACAAAGACACCTATAGTATAGGTCACGGACTAAGAGTACGGTGTAAACGTAGCCATTCTACGATAGCTCGGCCTTTACCCCGTTTGCCGCGGCAATTCGGATGATTTTCGTCACCGCTTCCCTCACGTAAAATCGCCCGTCACCGCCGACGACGAGAGTGCAGCCGGTCAGCTGATCGCCCAGAGCGTGCAGTGTCGCCTGCACAAAGTTCTCCGTATAGTGCTCTTGTTGGAAGACCTTGACGGCTTTCCTTAGGCCCGAGGTGCCCGGCTTTTGACCCTCGTACACCCGGGTGTTCACCGTCAGGCTCGTCACCGACGTCGCAGTCATGCTCGCAAGGTACTTCCGCAGGCGTGCTGCAACTGACAGAGGGAAAAAAAACGATGAGGCGAGGAACTGGAAATTGAAGTTAATCTGTTGGTCGCGACCGGTGAGGAGATAAACTGTACGGAGACCAAACACTTGAGACAGCCACCCGATAACTGTCGGCGGCAGACCGAACTCGGTTTGTCAATGACACGCAAGGGCACGAGTGCCCGGTTGCCGCCATTTTGGAAAATCGCTCATCGCGCGCGCTAGTTGTCGCGGGAGTGCACACGTGCATGCCACAATCGAAACCACATGGACCGTTAGGCCGTCGGCCGTCAAGCTCGATCCACATAAGACGCAGAACACGTTTCGCAGATCGCAAAACTAGAAACTAACCTAACGTATTTTAATCATAGTATGCTTGTAGAACGCAGAAAGTTGGGTGAATTTCAACTTTCTGCGTCCTGCGTTCTGCATCCTACAAGCATATGATTAAAATACGTCCTAACGCTAGTTCCTAGTTTTGCGAACTGCTGCGAACCGCGTTCTGCGTCTTATGTAGATCGGGTTTTAAGTACTCGTCAGCGGTTAGAGCTGTCGCTGTCGAGTCAGTCGAGTCGAGTCGAGTCGAGTGTCGTTGACACTTGTTTTCCTTTTAGGAGACACGATTGACACACATGTCCTCTTATTTTGGCTTCTTTCCACTTAACTCTTGCCGCAGCCTTTGTTATTCATTGAATGCCAACAGGATAGAACGATGTTTGTCTCGATCAGTCTCGACTGTATTTTCTAAAAGGAAAGTAGTCTTCTTTTCCCCAAAATGGTTTTTTGACTCATAAGGCCACAAAGGCAGGTTAAAGTATCGTAAGTCGTTAACATTTGGGTTGGACTGTGGACATCCTGCGTTTTGCAGGAATTGACGGAAATCCGCGTGAAAAGAATGAAAAGGAGAGATGAGGAGAATACTAGAGATCGATTACATTTTGTCAATTGTATATCGATATCATGCGTAATTCCATTTTCATAATTACGATGTTACGAAGGTAATTTATTGTAATTAACATTTATTTTAATTATAGTAACATGTCAAATCAGGAGACACGGTAAGGGTCTCAGCGTTGAGACAAGCGCAGTGACACTACCGTAAATAATTGAAAATAAAGTGACTTTTAGTCACTTAATCATTTTAGAGTCATTTTGAAATCGTGATGACTTATGCTCTACCTGGATATCTATTTCTCATTTTCTAAAACCAATTTGCGCAAAGTTGCTACTTTGAAAATTGAGATCAAGTTTCAAAGAAACTTCGTATAATTTTTTTTTCATGAACCAGAAACTATAAATCCGGATCTACAATAGGTGTTTTAAGAACTTAAGCCGTAAGAAATTGATCAATTACAGTCGAATCCGAGAGGAATAATCGACTGTGATTCGCCCATTTCTTATGACTTAAGACTTAAAACCCTATTGTAGATCCAGGGTAACACGAAATATTATAGCTTATTTTTAAACGATTGTTACTTGGGACAATGTTAAAATAATATTATTGAATCTTAAATGCGTATTTTTAGAAAAATTAATTTTCATATCAATTTATTTCAGATTTCTTCGGAAAATCACATATCTTTTCGATAATAATCTTGCTATTGTACATGTGCGTAAAAAAGACAGAAAAACATAAAATTCTTGGCTATGTAAAAGCTTTTTTTAACTCAACAATTACTAAAAAGACTCTTTTTTTTCTATGAAAAACAAAGATTTTTATCGTATCCAATTCTAAGTGAAAAATAATATCCTTTTTCGATTAATCAAATTATATTCCCAAACAACACGCATATCTAAAAGACGTCATAAAGTACGTTTTTTGATATCTTTTAGACATGTATATCTAAAAGAGGTCTTTATAAGATCTTTTAGACATGTTGTAGGAAATGTTGTCTGAGTTTATAAATGCTATCTGTGCGATAGTTGTGTCGAGAACTATTCTTGAAAAGAGAATAACGTTTGTGTATAATGTGAAATAAATGTATCGTATATGAATTTGTGTTTACTCGTTGATTACTCCAGTTTTCGAGTCGTGTTCCAATTTTCTTAGTTCTAACAATAACGAAGATTTTCGATTTGTATAAGATTGTAGACACTTTCCGAGCGGATAAATAAGCAAAACAACGAAAGAATGTCGTACGTAATTGCGTACGTAATAGAGATAAGTTTTGTAGATAAATAACGCGGGGATTAATAACGCGGAAATTAAACAAGAAAACAGAAATGGATGTGACAATTTTCTGCAAATGTAGGATTTATTCTTGTAGTGTTCAATAGATCAAAGATGAGAGAATATACATAATAATTCGTTGACTTAATGACTTTAAGTTGAGAGCTGTGTAAGAAGTCGATAGACTTACGTCAGCATGCTTTACATTGCTTTGAATTAAGATAGCAAATGTACAAAGCGGCTAGTCTCGGGCGTCTTACGTATGCATCGCAAGAGATAAGTGGATAGGGTCGCGAGTTTGACGTTTGACGTTTGAAGTGCTAATAATAAAAAGGATGGACACGTTTAACTTCTACAAAAAAGAAGCCTTGTAGTATTTCGTGAGCACCGTTCAACATCGAGAGGATATTATTGTTAATTTTTCATAATAAAAATCTATTTAAAAAACTTTACTTCCCTTGAGAAACACCGGGAATCCCCGCGGGAAAAACGCCATGAATGATCGAAATTGAGATGGACGGAAGGTCATTCACGGGGTTACTTCGCACAGTCAATGCGTGAGAAGAGAATGAACTGCGAAGCGAGCACAATTATAAGCACTCAAGCTGATTTGCGTCGACAATTTGGATTAGCTTGATAACAAATTAGCGACTATTTCTACTTACAAGTAACACTACCCAACTGTCACTCACCAATCTGGATGAAACTATGCACACCTGTTTAACATTGAAAAATATTGAACCCGTGTTTTTCTATTTTTCCCCAAAATGAATTTTAAGAGTTGAAACCACCCCTCAACCACCCCCAAAAATGTGTTATCTCGTCACGAGAATTACTTCCAGCATATAGGTGGCAACGAAATATGTTTCCGACAAAAGTTGTCGGAGTCGATGAAGAACTATGTAATGATGTTCTTACCTTGATCTTGGAGGTCAAATGTCAAGGTCGTTTGAAGGTCAAGTTGATTTTCTTCAATGCTAACTTTAAAAAACAGCAAAAATAAGACGAAAATCAGGTTTTAATGAAGCGGCACGGCTCCAATAAATGTATAAACCTTGTGCCAATTAATTCTGAACAAATAAACATTGAAAATATTCATCTAAATCCATTCTTGGGGGTGGTTTCAACCCTTAAAATTCATTTTCGAGAAAAATAAAAAAACGAGTTCAATATTTTTCAATGTTAAACAAGTGTGCATAGTTTCATCCAGATTGGTGACAGTTGGGTAGTGTTACTTGTTAATAAGTGATAAACTAAACTTGAGTCAAATTTAATACATTTCCTTAAGTTAAATTGTTCAACTTCATTGTTTTAATTAAACGATATATTGAGTTTTAATTAAACGATATATTTAACGATATATTGAGTAGAAACATTGGTGACCTGTAAAAAAATAATTCAAATTAGATATAATTTGACATTATGAATTTAACAGTGATAAATTTAGAAATACTTCAAAATTGTTATAACAAAATTGTTCTTTCCGTATGTAAGTGTCAAATGGAATACAGGGCGAGAGAGACAGGAATCTCTCTTGCGTTAGTCATGGATGTCCTGGAGCTGCAAGAGCATCGGTACCAAGGGGAAGGCCAAGAGAAGAGAGAATCTGCGAAAGTTATGTGGTCGTTACGACCGATCGGATCAGTCAGCGGTTTTTAGCCGCGCTCGTTCGACGGATGCGCGCAAGGCATGTTCGTTGAAAAACGCGGTTGGAGGGAGGCGTGCTAAGTCAAGGATACCATTGATACAAAGTCCGAGTTTATAAAACGGGGACGTACCTACTCCAAAACCCAGTTTTCCAGACGAGGGCGCGCGATCGGTAACCACTTCCCACAGGAGCGAAGTGTCCCTTTTAATCCCCCGGATCTTGCCGGTCGTCCAGTCAGTATATCACGGGGACCAGATCGTGATCGATCGTGTTAGAGAAAAGAAAAAGAAGATAGTGAGTTTAAAATCTTTCAGTTTCACGGCGACCACGGGTGATACGCTGATTATCGTGTCGCCAAAATTCCCGACGATAACTTTTCACGCGATCCCGGTTATTAATCAGTTAATTTGGACCCAAGAAAGACACATTTGTCGTTTCGATAAAACCGCAGTAAATGTCGTAAGAAGTCAGTTATTGAATCTGTTATCTGGTGCTCGCACCTCGTGGGGTGATACGCATTCGGTGTATTTAACGGATTTGTGTTTAAAAAAAGAAGAAAAGAAAAAAGACGATGACGCGAGAAGAAATCTCATTCAGCATGATTATATAGTTCAACGCGATGTAGAATGCTCGTCGTTTAGCTTCGTGTTTCCTAGTGCATCTTTGCATGCCCCGCTCGATATTCACCACTCTGAGCAGCTGCTGCGTTCGAGGAAGCGCCGAAGTGTTAAACGGAAAAAGAAACTTCTTTGCATTGCATCATTTTTTTTGTCAACTTCAGAGACATTATGTATAAGATCCGTGTTTACCCAGGCAGCGACTCCTCGCTGACGCGAGACAGCGGATCTGAGAGCACGCCGTTACTCTCCTCGGAATCTCGCACGAGTCCGGAACTGGTGATATTCGACGATTCGGACACAAGCGACTTAGATCCAAGCCCAGCCAGCTGTTCTTTGATGTAAGATGTGCATGAAATGCATCTGCGAGAGGAAGATGTGTGTCGTATTGTATTTTTCCATATAATTAATAATAACATGGAAAAAAATAATATTGTATTAAGGGAATGCTGGAGTGACCAAATTATCATATACAGTCGTATAAAAATCTTTGAATTGACTGAATGAAATAAAAAATCTTTTTATAGGATTAAAGTAGACGCAAAATTACGAGATGGCGCAGTGGATTTTATACTAAAATCAAAAGAATGTTAAAAAATTTTTAACTTTTTTTCGATTTTAGTACAAGGTCCACTGCACCATCTCCTAATTTTGCGTCTACTTTAATCCTGTAAAAGGATTTTTTATTCCGTTCAGTCAATTCGAAGATTTTTATACGACTGTAATGTGATAATTTGGTCACTCCAGCATTAACCAACAGCAGTCTAATTGAAAATAATCTTATTTATTCAATAACAGTATTAATGACACAAATAACATTTTATTAACTCTTTTAGACCCTACGTATATTGTGTAATGTACATCAAATTTGAAGACATTATCCGTTGAAATTATTTAATTCTATCGATATCATCTGAGTTTGACATCGACATAATAATGTATATGTTGGAAAAAGTCAAAATTTTGAAAAAAATTGTTTAATATGAATTACATATTAAAGCGTGCATGAATTGAATTAAAAAGAATCTTTTTAACACACACGATTCCAATAAAATTGGGTCTGAAAGGGTTAAAGCAAGAGTATAGCGTACTTATTTCATTAATATTATCATTGAATTAACGGGATTATTTTCAATTGCTGTTGGCTAATGCTGTTAACATTTTCTTACGTATATAAATTAAAAACATGTCTAATCGTAGATTTAATGTTAATAATGGATATAATAATGTAGATACAAGTGACACATATCTATTACATTTATATTATTTACAAAAGATCTACTATAGAAATTAAAAGTATGTATGTATCTTCTGTTGTCCTATCTAGATATGGGAGCATAGACTCCAGTTACAACACGATTTTAGCTACACCAAGGAGGCCAATTTCTTCAACGAAAAATAGTGAATTATTCGTTTCCACAATGGCAAATTCACCTTGCACAGTAAGCGAAAAAAATTACGAGCCATGCAATGGAAACTTGGTAAGAATAATATAATTGTTTGTGTATTTTTTTCTCCAAATAACCTGGATTGCGAAAACCAGCTTTTTAAAAAACACGTTCAAAATCTAGCAACGTTTAAGTAATAATCATTAAAAAATAACTATGGTATTTCATGTTTTTTATTCAACTTAATATTGTGTGCATTTGTTTTTAATTTAATTTATTGTGTATTCATAAAAATACATTGAGATATATACAAATTAAGCTTTATAATAAACAAATTTAATTTTTTCTCCACTTTTTTTAATTCTTTACCAAAAATAATAAGTCCATTTGTTTAATTTAATTTCTACATCGATGTTAATTAAAAATAGCGACATCAGTTTTAGTGTATTAAAAAAAATAGAATTATAAAATTATAAATGTTAGAACTGTTAAAACGTCTCAAAAATTTCAAAAAATTCACCACGATAATATATTCATATATAATATGATAAAAATATTAATATACATTTACATGGATAATAAATGCGTTAGTATACACAATACTGGAACAATTTCTTTAATCTTGTGCATAATTTTTCTGTATTTTTTATTGCCAAACACTGATTAAGTTTTATAATAAATAAGCTTAATTTTTCCTCCCTCTTATTTGTTTTTTCACAAAAATAACGAGTTCATTTATTTAATTTTAATTTCTACATTGATGTTAATTATAAATAGCAAATTAAATCAATTTTAGTGAAGAAAATAATTTATAATTGTCAAAACTGCTAAAACCTCTTAAAAATTTCAAAATTCATTACACGTTCATACTATACATATAATGAAATATGATGAAAATGTTAATATATACATTTACTTGAATGATCAGTAAATGCATTAATGCAGACAATACAAGATTTCTTTAATTTTGTGTATCATTTTTTGTAATTTTTTTATTGCTAGACACTAACGAACGAAAATTCCAACACAAAGAAAGCGCACGAGATAGATTTTGTGCCTGGACCTCTACAATTTCAACCCGATATCATTCAGGCTTCTTGCAAGGATCTCAAGCCGAAGCAAAGTTCCCTGGTCACTATGTGAGTGTCTTGAAATAAAATCTGTGAATAGAAAAAGTTTAATAAGAATACGAAAAATTTGTGAATATGAAAATAGGTGATGGGACATGTAAAATTTTTCGAACTACGCTTATACGGAATATATGTTCTTAATGGATGACCTCCTTAAAGTCAATGAGTCACACCGATCGATACCCTTTCCTAGGTTTGCCCTAAATACACTTTCCAAGCCAAGCAGAGATAGCATTCAACAGATTAAGATTAACATTATCTAATTAGTCAACTCCAATTCACAGTTCTCAATCTGCAATGTAGAAAATAGAAATAGACCCATGTAATACAAAAATGTTACATATTTCTTACGGAAAATTGAAAGAGATAATTAAATTTATGTATCATTTGTTGTATATTTTCCTTCTTCTCAAAGATTAAAATACCAGAATTATAATCGAACTTGTGTCGGTGCGTACTTTCGTAACATTAATTCGTTAATGTAGAGCGCATCTCTTAACTATATATAGAATATTGTTTTAGCATTTCTACAATAATTAGGGATGTGCCGGATATCTGGCAACTATCTGATGTTTAATCAATTCGGCCGGATAGTCAAATGAATTTATTCAAATAAATTTTAAAACTGCAATGAATAAATAATACATATCTTTTATATTAATATAACTTATAAAATAATTTTATATTAATGACTTATATTACGTAGGTATACTAATAAATATAATAATAGCTGCGTTCAGCGGAAAAAACTAATAAGTTAGCGCTTAGTAATTCTTTAATATGATTGGTTCTTGCTTTAGATCTTCACTGGATCTAAGTGTAGGAACAAATTATATTGAAGAATCACTAAACGTTAACTGATTAGTTTTCTCTGCTGAACGTAGCCAATAATATTGATGTGTAAAAACAAGAGCAGTAGTATAAATGCGATAAAGAAAGACGCACTCAATGGGCGAGGCATCAGCAGTAATGCTGTCTAAAAATCTAAATCCGAAGCAAAAATAAAAATAAAATAAGATTGAAAGTAAATAGAATTTGGTAACAGATACGCAGATAAGCAGCACAAAAAATGCAACAGATTACAAAAATAGAACGTGTGCAAAAAGAAATAAAGATATACAATAATGATAATAACAATTGTACTAAAGATAATTATGACAAATTTATACTAATAAGTATTTAGTTAGGTTGTCTATAGGTCACGTGAAATGTTTGCGTGAGAAATGATAGATTTTTTAAAACATTACGTGAGATCAAGACATTTCATATGTGGCCAACTTAACTAAATATGTTTATCACCGTTTCATTATTGTTTAACATGTATATGACGTAATATAACTTAAAAAATTTAAAAATCAAAATCATCTTTTGCGTTTATTATTTGCTATATATTTTCTGCTACATATTTCATATTTTCAGAAGAAACATACAATATTTCTGTATTAGTTGGGTCTACTTATTTTCTATATTAGAGATTGAGAATTATGAATTGGAGATTAGAATTCGACCAATTATAGACCATTTTAATCTTATAAATATTTGTTTTATTCTAATTAGTTGAATTCCAATCTCCAATTCGCAATCTTCTTGCTTTACTGTAAAAAAGTTATATTCACTTTTCCAATCTCTTCATGCAATTGTTAAGTAAAATCCGATTATCCGACAAATTCACTATTCGGCACATCCCCAATAATAATAATACAACTTTCCAAAAAAATAAATTTCGATATTACTTATTCTTAATTATTCCGTCGGCTTAGTGAAATAATCAATAATTTAACATGCACGTTATGACTTTTCCAATAGCAAGTTTCAATGCTTATTCACTCTTACTTTACGATCGAAAACAAAGGTAAAATATTTCACGTGGAGTGTTTGCGCCAGGTTGACGATTCGAGAAATCACTTCCTCGCCCATCTCGGCTATAGCTGACTCTCCAGCGGATGCTACACGCAAAAGGAGAATAGAAGAGAGGGGGGGGATGTAAAGAAGTAAAAAAAATAGAAATCGATGGCGACGCGCTTATCAACGCCGGTAAAATATACTTTTTATCGCGCATCGTTTAACGTGGCGTTTTGTTTTTCTTTTTTGCTCGAGCATGTTCTGTCTCGATTAGTACATACGGAGTAAATCTCTTGACGTGGTTATTTATCTTACGTAGATGGCTGATGGCAACCGGTCCGAAACTTGCATCAGCGCATCTTGAATTGATTCTTTCTTCATCGCATCAAACCGATACGGCATGTGTGCGTGCGTGTGCGCGACGTTAGGGGCGAAATCGACAACACTATTATTTTAGAGACGCTATCATGGCGCGCAAATAATCTCGCGTTGTGCGTCAAAAAGCGAGCGCCGTTAAGATAAAGTGCGGTATTAATACACAGTAATTCGTAGTTGCAAACGCGCGATAATTAATCGATTAGATCTTCGCGTTGTTTACATTTGTTTGTACTTATGCCTGTTTCCGCCAATGTAGATTAATTTCTAATCTTAGTTCAATTTTCTTTTTATCTATAATATTTTTAATTCTAAGAATTAGACTCAGTTTCACCAATGTAAGATTAATTTTAATCTCGGTTTGATTTGTTTTTTTTTTATCTTCTAATTAGAATTAAAAAAAGATAGAGTAAATTAACACACGATAAAAGTTAATCTACATTGAAATGAACTTAATTCTCTCAGTAAACAAAAATTGATTAAAATAGATTGAAAAAGATTCATTTCAACGTTTGCAAATCCGAATCCATTTCAGTGCCTAACTCATTTATAGGAATTGTATGAAACACATTTTCTATGTTCAATAAAAAAATAAGTTCAATTTTTAAAAGTGGATCGTGAATATTGCTTAATTCAAAATTCTGGACAGGAAGTGCAGTTTTTTTAATCCAATTCAATTCAAAAAGTTTTTGTATTTAAAATACGCATTCGAATGGATTAAGAATTTCAATCCATTTTAATCTATTCTCGTTTACTGGCGAGCTTAGAATTAGAAAAAGATAAAAAGTAAATTGAACCGAGATTAAAATTAAACTCACATTCCATCAGGCCTTAGAATATTCATTTTCTCTCTTTTCAACATTCAAATATATATGTTTATCTTGTTTTAAATACAAATATTTTTGGGAATTTCAAGCAACGTAAACAGATTTATTGACGACTAGCGTTGCCGCGTAAAAACAATAGATCTAAAAAATAAATGTAGCCCTTAACGCGCAGGTTTTTCCCCTTCACTGTTCCGACTTCCTTTGTCCTCGGAGGAGAAATAGCGCGAAAAAGGTATCTCCCTCTGCGATGAAAATCAAGAGAGAAATCATCCTGTCTCTTCTTTTTATAGCCGACGATATAAGGGGAGTCGATCAATGTCGTAACTGTTTTCTCTCGCCAATTATCAGTTAACATAAACAAATCAATGACACTTATGTCTCTCGCGAAATCGACGGGTCAATCACGCCTCTAATCGAATCCACGCGCGAGAGGCAAGACAAGCCTTATACTCGCACAAGTACGGGATACACCGTCACGTCTCTACATGTGACTGATATAACCTAAATACATGATCGTGCGTGGCTGGGCACCGACGTGAGGGATTTTTAACGAGCAGTATATTCGAAGATACTGTTTGGTAGACTTACCGTTGTAGCCGCCGCGATCTCGCAGGCTTCCCCGTAGATGGAATCGTCGTGCATCGCGTCCTGACCGTCGGCAACACACGCGCGACTATAATTCGCGGAGCTGATGATCCGCTTCCTCTCGTTCCCGCATCTGGAAAACGAGCGGGCGAGCGGCACGAGACGTTTGAGACAGCCGTCGTTCTGTTCTCGATTCGCTCGCGCCCGGTCCTTTCCTTTACCGAGGCCGATGACACGGCCACTCGTTTCCGAGACGCGGGAACGAAGGTGTACGCTCCGCGTCGCGCCGCGCTGCTCCGCGCGACGACGATCGGAGAGTCTAGAGCGGCGCGACGGAACGCCCCCGGCCCCGAAGGGGTTACCGCTCTGTCTGTTGCCCGGGCAACAGACGACCGCCCCGAGAAGGTGAATGCCCTTAGCCGGCAATCCGCCGCCGCCGCTCAACGCTGCCGGGCGCGCGCACGGCGCACCGGAGCTGCACTCCTGCCGACTTGCCGAGCACCGTGATACAATACATCGCAGCCATCGCAGTTATTCTCTCTGACATCAATTCGTAGTATTCTCTCTGACATCAACTCGCACGCGAACTGCGAGGCTGAATGCTGATTCTCGCAATGAGAAGCGTGTAATGAGATCAGGGAATCGATTGTGTATCTTGAACCGAGTTGTTGAGCAATGAAATATATATTATATATTATAAATATTACAAATACAGGGTGTTTCCAAATTAAATGGCAAAACTTCGGGAGCGTGTAGAGGAGTAAAAAACTAAGAAAAAAAGTCCTATAGA